TCTTTTGTACTATTTGCAGGGATTTAATCTTAGATACTCTCCCACCACAACGAATCCTCCATGAGGGGCAAGACCTCTGCTTATGGACTTTACAGCATCCCCAAATCCACTTCACTCCACTCTCATGGACACTCCTTCCTGGCCCTATTAGTCTCTGGTTGGCATGACTAATTGCATTTAAGATTCTCTCCACTTTGCAGTCCATAATTCAATTAAGTAAATTAATTAAGCAAGAATCAAATCATTTTAATTTATATTTTAATGGATTTCATAGAAAAATTATTAGATAAGCACAATTCTAAAATTTTGTGGAAATAATGAGAAATTGAAGCAAGGATATGATGGAGAACTAACAGTTAAGTTATATCATGAGGAATTTCAATGATTAAAAATAGATGACGACTTTTACAGAATTATTTGTTCTTCCCCCCAAAAGATATTGTTTTTAGTATCCTATATGTTTTCAAATATACACCTTCTTCAATAAAAATAATGTGTTCAAACAAAATTTTCATCATATAAGTAGTTTCTCAGTACTTTTTATTTTTCTGGGAATGTGTAAATCTCTGAAAGCCTTATTATGTTTTTTTTTAATTTCACATTTATTGGGCATTTTATGAGAGGCTAAATATTATCTACTTTAATTATTCAAGTATGAAAATAACTATAATAAAATCTGAATAGTTACAGTATTTTTTTCATTGTTAAGATTCATAAGAATAGTACACTTATCTACGTTTTATATTTCATGCCTGAAAGTGTTAGCACTGAGCAAATTTCTCAATGTGCATTCTTTCTGGATGAACTACTGTTAGACAACTAAATCTGTAATGCAATATAACATGGTCATATTAATCTAGTGATGCAGAAAAGACCATCTGTACCACCTTGGATATGCCTGCACTATAAGAGCAAACTAAAAGCCTTGTGTGGTCATTAATTTAAGAAAGCCAGTGAACTATTTTTAAAGAAGGAGGGTAATGTAACTGCTGAAGAATGAATAAAACTAGGCACTGACCTTCAATGTATTGTAATAAGCTTGCAAAATTGATTTGTAAACTACTTTATAACTCAATTTCATGTTCATTAAAAACTAATCAAATGACTTCGATGTAGTTCACTGATTTTTAACTTGACAATTTACCTGATCATATAAAAGTTGCTGGTCGAAATATGTAAGAATGTTGCAAAACAATTATTGCCATGCACTGATATTTAATCTTATTTGTGCAGACTGGGTACTCTCATCTTTATTAGTCAAGATTCTTATGTAGAATGTACTTGGGGTTTGTCTTTGCATAGTGTCATGTCTTTTATCAAAGAGATAATTCTTATTTCAATTATATTAAAAACTTTTAACTCCTAGACCAAGAATGAAAGGTTGTAATAGCAAATTAGGCTGCTAAATTCTAAAATGTTTTGTAACATGTACTTTATTTAAACTTTGCTAGATGATAAGGAGCATGACACTTGTATATTCTAGAATCAGAATGGTAGCAATCAATAACCTCTGTAAAATGGTGAAATGTGTAGGTAAGACCATCCACTGACAATAAAAGTTGTTTCAGGTATATATGGCACGGCATTTAGTTCACCCCCCCATAAACTGTCGAGTTATACTTAATTATTTTAATTAATATGAGTCAATACAGTTCTGGGAGGTTAAGATTAATTAGGAGTGCAAGAGAAATTAAATATTCTAGTTTTCTATAGTCAAAATTGAGCATATTCTCAGTTACGTTTAGAACTTGTCTATGGAAATCCATCCATCATACCATAATCAGACTCTCAATCAGGACTAGACTCAATAGTAAGCAAAACAGGTGCCCTTCCCTAAGGAGACCTCTACTCCATTTGCTGGACAATCAGCAAATGTGTAATTATTATCTGTGGTGAAAAACATAAAGTGGTATTAATATGGTTCCTTAAGAAAGTAACTGTGGGGCACAATCCCAAAAAAGAAGGAAACCTGGAGTCTGATAGACACACAGGCCTCCAGAGGAATTAAAAAGTCCTCATGGATGGATTCCAGATAGTAAGAAGGATAGCTAAAGCTTCAGGGTGGAGGAATTTTGTCTTCATTTCCAAAGCAAGACATTGGGACAGAAGTGAGGATTAGGCAATAATGTACATGATCAGCTGTGAAGTTTTTAAAAGGCATAAAATATTCTTTTAAGGATGGATAGTAAGGTAAATATGAACATATTAAAAGTGGATTATCACCCTATTACAAGAAATCCAGTGAATCATTATAGTAGCTTAGAGCCAGGGAAGAGTAGTAGAAGTAAGAAAAATGGAAACATTCAGAAGATATTCAGAAGATGAACAATGAACACAATTAGGGGATTGATTGATACAATTGGATGTAAGTAATGGGTATGAGATAGAACAATTTCTATAATGACCCTCAAGTCTAAGTCTGATCGATCTGGATGGATGTAATGCCATTCACTGAAAAAAGGCTAGGTGTGGAGGTATAGATTACAAGATCAGAATTTGCTATTAGATTTTGAGATGTTTTTATGATTTCTAAGTAGAAATGTTGGTGACACCATTAGATATGCAAGTTAGAAACTCATAGTTCAGACCAGACTAGAGATATAAATTTGTGAGTCATTCAATTAAAGAGAACTGAAAATATATGTGTAGGTGAGACCATCCACTGAAATTAATAAACTCAAAATGTAGAAAATTTCATGAGTTTTCATAAGTGTTTTTCCATGTCTTAGAGCCATCTGCAATGCACTTAAAAGTCCATAGTAAATTATTAAAGAATGATACCGTGATATTTTAAGAATATGAAAAGATGGAAATCCTGTAGACCAAAAATATAAGATGAATAACCAGAAAATCAACATATAATTATAAATCCATAGGGTGATGTGGACCCAGAATACTTTCCCTAAAACTACAAATTTTACTTTTTGTCATTTTTTTTTACAAATAATACTTAGAGAAGATTTGAATTACAAATTATTCTTTGGATGCTTTCTTTTAACTTCTGTTTTCTTTCAGGGGTGGAAGTTTTATTGCTTTACTTTTTAAATTTATAATAGAATGCTTGATTGTTATAATGAACAGTAGAGATATATAAGGAGAATGCAAACATTTTAACCTCCTTTCAAATCCACCCACTGAGCTAATTAACAGTAAAAGTTTGGAATCATTTCTTCCACATCTTTCTCTGCTGCCATGCAACTTATATGAGCAATTATAGGTTTTTACTGTATTTTTGTTTATGAATAATAATATCATAAAATACTGATTCAAAACTCTCTTTTTAACAGCATATTTGAACAACTTTTCAATCAAAACATGTATATATACGTATATATATATATATACACTATATATATAATGTATATATATATATATAGTGTGTATATACATAATATGTACATTTTTAAGAATGTCATAAGATTCCTAAGCATAAAAAATTCCATGATTTATTTACATATTTTCATAATGGACTTCAGATTGTTTCTATTTTTTATGCCTTTATAATATGCTATATATGAGTTACCGAGATGAAAAGCGTGTATTTTTTTCACCTTAATTGTTGTCAGATCACTCTTCCAGAGTGTGAAGGAATTTGCAATCCCACCAACAAAGAATCAGAATGAGCAACCAGTAATCTTTGCCATCACTGGATGTTATGCTCATTTTTTTTTCATTTACTGCCAAACCAAAGGGTGGAAAAAATTATATCCTCTTGTTTAAATTTGCGCACTTTACTATGTCTTTGTTAAAATTACATTTCATCGTTGAATGCTTTATTGTTATATATTTATGAACTAATTTAAAATTTTTGATATCCATCCTTTAATGTTGGTATTTTGTTGTCCTTCTCTATATTCCATTCTTAGATATGCTTGACATTTCATGTCATACTCTTAAATTTCAGGATTATCAGTGAAAAAAAGAAAGCAGAAAAAAAATCTTATTATTTCAGTACAACTCTTTTGGAAACCAAAAGTCTTTCCAGAATTCAAGACGGAATGAGGAAATTCTGTGACACAGATGACCCCTTTACCACTCGAATCAACCTAAAATATTATTCAACATAAACCTTCAAGACATATAAGATTGACTCCTCACTCCCTCACCTTTCCTTCCCTATAGCTCCCATTGGTAACTTCCAAACACACACTATACTCATCCCTGACCTTGTCCCTTCTCATATGATGCCCTCCTCTTTCCTCTCCTATATGATCTGAGAATGTACAACAAAATGTGTTAGTAAACTTTTTCATCGTTAGGACCAAAAGACCTGTCAAGAACAATTCTAGAGGAGGAAAAGTTTATTTGGTGGCTCACGGTTTCAGAGGTCTCAGTCCATAGATGGCTGACTCCATCCCTGTGGGCCTGAGATAAGGCACAATATCATGGCAGAAGTGTGTGGTAGAGGAAAGCAGCTAGTACCCTGGCACCAAGAAGCAGAGATAGAGCTTTGCTTACCAGAGACAAAATATAAACACAAAAGGCAGACATCCCCTGTCCCCCGCCAGCCCTAGGGTTACCTCTTCCATATACACCCTAACTGCCTACAGTTCCCACCCAGATAATCCCTAACACTGGATTAATTCACTGATTGGGTTAAGGCTGTCATAACCAAATCATTTCACATTAAACCTTCTTGCATTATCTCACACGTGAGCTTTTGGGGGGTACTTTATATCTAAACCATAACAACATATTTTTAATTTATTAAAGCTGAAAATGTCTCCTGTCATCTAAATAATACTTTCCTAACACTGGAGTTTATTTTATCTAAGAAACATAATGAACACATTTTTCTGTTTTCTTACTACCTGTAAGATAATTCATATTGTTTTCAGAGAAGTTTTCTCATAATATCCCTTATTCCAACTGTAGCTGACCCTAATGAAGTATTAATATTTTTTTTACTTAATGTTTGAATATGAATTGACAGTGTTAGTTTTTGTTTAATGCTATATTCATTTTCTTACAACAATGCTCTTTCCTGTCTCCCTTTGTAGGGAAACTTTTTGGGTTCAAGTTCCCTGCTCTGAGAGTTCTCACTTACAGAAAGCAATCCTTACCACAAGAAGATCCTGATGTGGTAGTGATTGACTCATCTAAACACAGTGATGATTCAGTAGCCATGAAGCACTTTAAGTCTCCTACAAAAGAAAGCTGCAGCCCCTCTGAAGCAGATGATACAAAAGCTTTGATACAGCCCAGCAAATGTTCTCCCTTGGTGAATATATCCGGACCTCTTGACCATTCCTCTCCCAAAAGGCAATGGGACAGACTCTACCCTGACATGCTGCAGTCAAGTTCCCAACTGACCCACTCCAGATCAAGAGAAAGCCTCTGTAGCATACGGAGGGCATCTTCAGTACATGACATAGAAGGATTCAGTGTCCACCCCAAGAACATATTTAGAGACCGACATGCCAGTGAAGGTATGTCAATTTTTTTTTACACATGGGATTACGTTAATGAGTAAAGAAAGATTATTTCCTAATTAATTTTTATTTCAACATTAAGCCTCTGCCTTGGAAGAAAAAAAAATGTGATTAAAGGCTACTAAACATGTGGGTCTAATATTCAGCATTGTTTTTCACGTCTTTTTTGAACTCTAGTGAATAATTCGGTTTCTTCTGACTTCTTCATCAATGTTTCTGAAATAGTATGATAACCATTATCTGCCTACTTCATGGAGTGTTAATTAATTAATGTTTAATATAAATCGTACTTAGATGATGAACACTATCAGCTCAAGCATAATTAATTTTGCCACATGTAGCAAATGGTCAGGCCCTGGGAAGGAAGAGAAGTGTGCCATGTTATTGGCCTACTCTTTCCAAAGGGAGGGCTATGAAAATGTGAAATATTGACAGAGATGAAGTACAAGTAGGAGACAGGAGAAAAGGTAGGAGACAAAACCCACCCACCAATGAACTTGAAAAGCAAAGTCAGAATTGATGAATTCCTCCCTGGCCTCTCTATGTTCACATTCTTATATGACCCACAGGTGAAAATAAAGCTGCTTGAAAAGCAACCACAGAAACAAGCCATGGTTAGCACGATCATGGGTCACATTGTGTTTTGAGTGCTTTCTATGCCTGAGACAATATAAGTGCAGGCAAACACTGACTCTCATTTAATTCTAACCGTATAAATTAAGAACTAGTTTTAAGCCCCATTATATAGATGAGAAAACTAGACTTGGATGTCTTGATAGATAGCTAGCCCAGGATGACAGAGTAGTGAGTGTCAGAGCCTGGCTTCAAACCCAGGATCCCTGTCTCAAGAGTCCACAGTCAAATCCATGCAATGTTTTAAACCCCTCCCTCTCTTCTGCTCCCTGAGGGAGTTACTGAACTCTCCCCAGGAGTCTGAGAGTCCTGAATGCTTCAGTCCCACTTTTCTGACTCTCAGAGCTGTTTTTTCTGGAGAGGCTAATGCCCTTCCTCTGATTCTCATTCCTTCATTGCCCTCATCACCATGCTGTTTGCCCTTTGTCTCAGTGAAGCTGAAATCTGATCCCGAGGCTCCTTAGAACACAGGACTAGGCACTTCACAAAATGGTCACAGTTACCTGTTCAAGTCTCGGTTTTATCCTCAGCAAACTGCCTCACCTCCTGTCTAATCTATTCTAAGCCAGTGCCAAGATCACTTGCCAGTTCCCAAAAGACATAACAAAATTTTCCCCCTTACTTTCCTCTGCCTGAAATGTTATTACCCTCTTTACCCCTCATACTCCTGCTCAGCTGCCAGCATTCACTTCCCCTTCCCAAACCAGAAGCATTTAATGACTTTACAGCTGAGTGTTCAAAGCAATATTTACATATATTATAACATTTATTACATTCTTTATTTATTATGTATTATATACCTGTCATTGTTGGTAGGCATTCAAAGAAATAATTGTGCCGCTATGAGCTGCCCACGCACAGGCGCTTAGGGTATTTAGCTCTGCAGTCCTAGTATCCACACAATGGTCTACTTCTTGACAGGTGTTCAATAAGTGTGTGTTTGATATTAAGAGGACCATGCTCATGAATTATGTTTGAAAATCTCACCCATCAGGAAATAATGCATTATTTGCTTGCCAAAACTCTAAATTTAAGCCAGAGTCTTAGGATTGAATCATGTGGTGGATCTTTATCTAAAGGGCACAGTGAAGTACAAAAGGCAGAAAAGTTGAAAGAAAATGAGTTGTCAGGAAAGAATTCAAAGAGATAAATCAATATCTCAGAAATAGAAATAGCAGTTTGCTATAAGACAGATTTGAAAAAATACATACTTCAGAAGAGCAATTAGTACACCCTTTTTAATCTCTTGTACAAAGAAGGTCAAAAGGAAAATAAAATCAAAGACAGCTCCCAACCTGGGTAATCATGTAAGGAACTACACCTTCTGGTGATGTTGGGCTCGACATTTCCTAACAGAACGAAACCTCTATAATTTGATCCTTGAACAAGAGACCTTAGGACTGAATAACAACCATAAGTTCCATATGATAATTCAAACCACCAATAAATCTTTTAATTATTCCAGCTAGTTTTATCATTTATAGCAATCATACATTTTAAGAGACTGACCATCCAGAAATTCTCAGGAAAGTACCCGAATTATAGGATGAACCATTCAAAAAAAACCCCCAAAACAATAAATTTTAAAATTAAACTGATACATTACATAATCATCCTACAGACTTTGACAGTGGCTCTCTGTAGTTTAGGTGGTATTTCATAACTTAATTTTATTGTTTTCAGTTTATGTGGTCTCTTTTTAGAACACAGTTGCTGGCACAATTACAGGAAAGGATGACTTAATATTTTTGCTTTGCTCAGTACAGGTACTATGAATGGACACTTAATATTATGATCATTCTCAATTTTCCTCCCCCATCTAAGTTAGGCTATTTTCAGAAACTGTATCACTTTCTTCCAGATGATATAGTCAACGTGTGACTATAGATCGATAAATTTAGAGGGTATTTTGTACTTCAGCTTTAGAGCAATTTTAGCTACAAAATCACTGGTGGGCATAGAAGAAATTACATTTCCTACATCTACATCTTTTTATATTTTTGAAACTGAGACATTGAAAAGGGTAGGTGGAAAATCTTTAAAACTGATTTTAGTTTATGAATCCATCAAATTGGTTAGCAGATTAAATCCAACATAAACCAGAATTTGAATGCAGTTATTGTCTCATTCAGACAGAAAAATCTCACCCCATATAGGCTATTTTTATGGAATTTTAAATACTTTGTAAATATAACAGTGCATAATATTTTCCATAATCCTCTTATTTATTCAATACCTTCGAACTGTGTCTCTCAAACCATCCATGGTAAAGGACCAGAATATGTTTTTCTAATAAATCACAGAGTAATCCATTTATAAATTTAATAAAAATGTACTACAAGAAAAAGAAAATTGTAAAAATACACATACGAAACATAAGTTTCAGTTTGTTTATAATTAGATTCAGAATACATGAAATTAGTCTGTTGAACTGTTAGAAAAGGCTCTAACTACTCTAATTTCTGCACTTACATTACCTTGGAGAAATAGCAAGCGGATCTCAGTGAAAGTCCAGAAACATCTCACTTTGTTTTGGAATGCCAAAGCTGCATTAACAATATAATCTAAATTTTATTTGCTTTCTTGAAGTTTGGAATTTTTATTTGTAATTTCTAAGTTTGGTGACTACAAACATAAATTTTAATTACATGAAGGCAGTTGTTATTTACTCATTTTTTATCACCCATCTTCTTATGGGGAAATTATTTCTGTGTAATCAATATTTCTTACAACCTCCCTATTCACTTTTCATGACTCCCTCAAAGAAGGAAGAGAGTTGTCCTCAATGGCAACATTCTATTTGTATATCTCTGTAAAAGGCAATATCTACTCCAGCAATTCAGTATGCCACACTATGGGAATTACTTTAAATGTAAGATTTGACACAATTATTATATATCAAGATTTTAAATGTGCACAGTTGGCCAGGCAAGATGACCCACATCTGTAATCCCAGCAACTCTGGAGGCTGAGGGAGGAGGATCACAAATTTAAGATCAATTTCAGCAACTTTAGTGAGACCTCGTCTTAAAATTTTAAAATTAAAAGGTCTGAGGATATAGCTTGGCTATAAAGGACCCTGTCAGTTCTGTCCAGTACCAAAAACACAAAATGAAAAAAGGAAAGTTTTTATATGTGCACAGTGATAGTATCGATGTCAACCAAATGTTAAACAGATGTTTAAAATCTTGGGTATATTTGAATGGTTTGAAAATACTTCATTGTTTTTTAACTTTAGTGTCTGAAAACTCTTGATACATGTTTTGTAAACAGATAATATGTAACATTTAACTTTCCAATTTGAAAATACATCTAAAATAAGACTTTAACTCAGCCCACTTTACACAAATTTTCTAAATATTCTAGATACCACACTGCAGTGTGACAATACAGATAAAAAACATTCCCTTTATCCAGACAAATCTTTTACTGAAATTTTTCCCATTAGTTTTACATAAGAATGACTCTTTAATTGTTTTTGCTATTTTAAAACAAACATTAAAGAACATTGGGGAGTAGGTAGTTAATAATTTATTAAAATAAACTGTTGTATTGCAAACGTTTTTTCTTATCAAAATACTGGGTTAAGTATAGAAAAAAATTAGTTAACGTGCACAATATTGTGTAATCTTTCTCTGAATATATTGTAAGTAATGGTTAAAGAAATAACCAAATTGGCTTTTGACAACACTGACAGTTATCACAACTTCAGGTAGCTGTGGGTAACTTCCCCAAACTGTCATAATTATAAAATACGTACCTTGGAATCCATTTAAATTCAGATAAATATTTCATGTATTTCAGCAGACTGTCTGTTATGGCAAATAGTTTTGGTGTATGGTTAGATAATAGGCAATGTTAATTTCAATTAATGCTACATTTTCAATCTTTACCTCCTGTTTTCACTGATCATTTTTACAAAGGTTATCCAGTGTGTATAACATAATTTTAGTCTTTTTTTTTATATCTCTCTCTTTTTTGTATCCTTATATGCTTAAAACAGACAATGGTCGCAATGTCAAAGGTAAAGTACGCACCCAAGTCTCACCATCTGATGCTTAAATGGCCCTTTTATTCGGCATGTCACTTGCCTGCTGTATGCCCTGTTCAGTGCCACATCTTCATGCTGCCCTTAGCTAGCCCAGGTGCCTGGTGGAGACATCATGGCTTGATTTGCTGGAGACATTGTTACTTTCTCAGCTGTGTCATCAAAGTGATTATGAATGCCTTTTTTTCTGCAAAAAGTGTAACCCTAGGTTGACAATGAACACTTCATAAATATTTAAATCATTTGGAAATAAACAAATACCAAGCTAAATATATTCTAGTATAAAAGAAGCACATAAGCCTATTTCAGGGGAAAA